CCAAGAGCGGCAGGCCTCTGGCTGTGGTCTCAGAAAAAGTCCTGTCATTAGCTCCCTGGGAAAGTATCTGTGGTCTGACCAGACTGGGGGTAGGAGCAGCAAACCCAGATGAACAGGTGAGGTGCTTGAGGACTGCTCCCTCGAGCTGTATGGCCAGCTAGCCCTGAAGGGGTCCCACATGGCGGCGTTTCTGCCCCCGGGAAGTGCTTGTCTCTGGCATCACCGTGAGTGTGCCTTCCAGGGGAAAGTCAGAGGGACCTGTCTCAGTGCAGTGTGCGCTGACAGATGTGAGCTCCACACGGGAAGTTCAGTGGCTGGATCTAAAAGAAGAAGCACCCAAGTGTGGGGGAGATTCGGGCTTTGATCAGCACTGTACAGTGGCCAGGCTCTATGCAGTGGAGACATCCAGGGTTTGGTCACACCTGAATCCAGCAAAGACCCATTGTCATTGGCTGGGGCCAGTGCCCATCAACTTGAGTGGCAGGTTGGTTTGGAGCCCTAGATGCCTCCAGGCTTTGAATGAGCCGGGTCAGTGGGTTCCCCAAACAGAGGCATTTGTGGGTCTGTAGTGAGAAGCACGGAGGAAGACATTTTCTATTTTTAGTGGAGGGCAGCATTTGTTTGCATGCAGGCAAATGTCTCGGTGTTTCAGGGGTAGAGGGTTTCCCCCACCAAAGCCACCACCATTGTCTGCAGGACGCTTCCTGCCCACCCCCCAGCCTTGGTTTGGCCATTGTGCTGAAGGACCAGTTTTCATCACGCCTCGTCTTCTCCTTCATTTTCCAATGCTCCACACATGAGTGAGATCATAATGAGATCATCTGGTCTCTGTCTTTCTCCTCCTGATTTATTCTGCTTACCACGACCCCCTCCAGTTCCAGCCCTGTCAAGGCAAAAAAGCAAGACTCCGTCCTCTCTTCGGGACTGAAAGATGCTCTGATGCAGGAGTCCATGCAGGGGGTCATGTGTGTCCGATGAGGGCAGCACGCAGGAGGAATGAATAAGGGCTCTAGAAAGCCACCCAGTGGCCAGCCTGGAGAGGGATGGACAGCACCCTCATGTAGGGGGCAGCAGCACCTCCCTCTCACCACTGGGCAGATGAATCAATCAGAGAAACTCAACAAGGAAGCGGCCATCTTAAACACAGAGTTGGACGCACTGGACCTCACCTTCACCCCCTTCCCATGGGAGAAAACATGGAATCACCAGAAAAAGAAAGTAAATATCTTTCCTCCACATCCTGTAGATCATGAGGGGTCATTCTGAGTGGAGGAAGAGGCCAGCAGGTGGACAGCGGACATGCAACTGTAGGCAGCACAGAATCAGAGGAGGGGCTGGAAGCAGCCCTGGTGAATTCGGAAAAGGGGTTTCTCTAGCCGCTGCTTCTCCAGAGCCCCAGCAGCACCCACAGGTGCTTCCCAGCCATGGCGAGTCAGAGAGGAATGCAAGAGAGAGAGAAAGAAACAGCATTCGGAAGTGGATGCATCAGTGTGGGAAGGAGCTGAGCCAACACGGGGGTTCTAGAATGAGAGTAGAGAAGTTTCTCTTCCATTGATTGCAAGAGAAAAGGCGTGAAATATTAGGTCTTTCCTCCCAAACATTGCTCTTTCTCATCTCACCCTTGATTCCTCTAAGTTTTCATGCCTCGGGTTGACCTTCTGAGTTGTATTTACCTTCTTGGAAGTTTGGAAGTTCCACCAAGCGGTACTCAGGGTCTCTGCCTGGCTTGGTGCTTGGGAATCTCTCCTCTGCCTGTTCGGGGGCAGGGTGGGGGGGTGCTGGGGACCAAACCCAGGTCTCCCAACACTTTGAACCATCTCCCTGGTCCTCTCATCGACTTGTCATTCCCATGAGACTTTAGAGCGTTTCTGGTTAATCTTTTCCGGGTCCATGAAAGCAGGAGTTCCACAATCACAAAGCCATGGGTCTCACCCCTGAAACAGAACTTTCAATGCACAAGGTCCTCCCCCAGGAGGCCCCCACTGTTCCCAGATCCTGCCCGCCAGGTCCTCCCCGAAAGCCAGTGCTCTTGTCTCGGACCCTCTCACCTCCAAGGGCTCGGCATGCCTCATTTCAGAGCATCAGGCACTTCCTGCTCAGTGCCGGCGCCTTTGAGTCTGACTCTCTCCTCTCGCCGGGAGAAGGCCTTTAGTTTTTCCCGGACTCAGAGTCCCTCCACATGGATGCTTTCTGAATTGCAACCCAGGGAAAAGACGTTTGCAGGCTCTGCTGCTTTCAAGGTTGGAAGCAGACGGGAACCTGCCACCACCAGGCATTTGCAGGAAGGGACGACGTGGCTGTGGCTCGAAAGTTCTAGCTGCAGAGGCAGGGAGTCAGGTGGGCGGGTAAAGAAGGGGGAGACTGGTAGCCAGGAAAAGGCCGGCCCCGCTGGGCAGACAGCAGGCACGCCCCACTCACCCAGCAAGAGCCAGCAGCCACCCAGACGTGCAAAACCAAGTCACAGAGCGTGTGCCGAGGTGCCATGGGGGGGTGTGGTGCTTGGGAATGGTTGACTAGCAATGGAAAAGGCCACATGGCACAGATGGGTCTTGGGGGCGGGAAAAAGACCCAGTGAGACAGGTCAGAATGCAGTGAAACTTCCAACCTCTGTGGGCCCGTGGAGTTAGTATGGTGGGGAGAGTGCTTCCCTTGCTGCGGTGGAGAGGGACTATTGGGGCAGGGAGGTGGGGATCTTTTGGGGTATTTTGGGCTTTTTTTTTTTTGCTTCTTGGGGGTCACACCCAGCGATGCTCAGGGGTAACTTCTGACTCTGCACTCCTGGCGGTGCTCGGGTGACCATATGGGATATTGGGGGTTGAACCCAGGTCGGCTGCGTGCAAAGCAAACACCCTACTTACCCGCTGTCTTATCTCTCCAGTCCCCGGAGATCTTGCCCAAGTATCTGTTCCCAGAGTGGTAAACCCAGAATTCCAATTCAGGCAGCCTGTCACCGTGCCGCCGCCTGAGCTGATGGGCACCCTTGTCCCCCCTGATCACTCAGGTGTCCCAGGAAGGGGCCGGGAGCACACTCCCCCCAGGCCTATCCCCGCTGCCGTCACCCGCTGAGATGCAGACCGGCTTGTGCTCCACATCTTGCAAGCTCTGGAGTGGAGGCGACAGCTGTGCGGTGTGTCCCCTCAAGATTCTCACTCCTTGCCATCCAGAGACCGGCCGGAAGGGGCCTGGGCATGCCAATGTCAGGACTAGAAACTGAGGCTGCAGTGGCGGTGGCCGCTAATCATTCAGCGTAGCCAGGCTCCTGGCAGCTCTTGGTCAGTGGGGCTGGAATGTGGCCTTCGCGTTAGACATTGGAGGCTTCTTCTGCCCTTTTTTTTGGGGGGGGGGGGAGGAGTCACACCCAGCGATGCACAGGGGTTACTCCTGGCTCTGCTCTCAGGAATTACTCCTGGCGGTGCTCAGGGGACCACATGGTATGCTGGGAATTGAACCTGGGTCAGCCACGTGCAAGGCAAACACCCTCCCCACTGTATTATCGCTCCAGCCCCTTCTTCTGCCCTTTAAGAAGAATCTGGGTCTTGGAGCAATAGCACAGCGGGGAGAGCGTTTGTTTGCCTTGCACGTGGCTGACCCAGGTTTGATTCCCATTCCCAGCATCCCATATGGTCCCCCGAGCACTGCCAGGGGTAATTCCTGAGTGCATGAACCAGGAGTAACCCCTATGCATCGCCAAATGTGACCCAAAAAGCAGAAAAAAAAAGAAGAATCCGATTCTCATCCTGGTCCTTAGTTGGAGTGAGACCTTTGGCCCTTCGCCTATTCCCTCAAAGTGAGGAACTCCATGTCTCATTTTTTGCGAGTGCAGAGACTGCTGTTTAGGGACCGAGGGGGTGAGCCCCCCGGGGAGGGGTCCCTGAGCAGACATTCACGCCTTCCCTGGGACTTTCTTCTTCTTCCTCCTCCATTTCCAAGCCGCCCGCCCCCCACAACATCTGGGTCCATTTCACTCTCCCCCAGAGCTCGTGGGAAGAATCGGGCTCATGAATAAAACTTCCAGGGGCCGGGGTCAGCGGCAGAGCCTGGCCCCGCTCAGTGGCTTGTCTCTGCGGTGTCAGTGGCACCCGGGGGACACAGCTGCTCCTTCCTGAGCCAGCCCTGGCCCTGCCTGCTCTGAGGCTTCTGGAGAGGAGGGGAGGGAAGGCCGCATCCCCAGCATATCCCCAGCCCGGCCCAGACGGTACTCTGCCTGCTTCTCACACCATCCCCTCCTCCCTCCCGACCCACTGGCCAGATGCAGGCGCACGCCCACCATAACAGTCCGTAGAGCCGTCTTGGCGTCGCATGGGCCGGACTGGCGGTCTCATTCAGAGCCCAAGGCGGGAAAGCAGGGCCCTGCATTGACTACTGCCTAGCCTGCCTGCCGGTAAAGACAACCCTGCAGCCGCTGCAAGGCGGATGTGGGCCCCGGCCACACTCGAGTGCCTGAGTCTCAGCTCCTGGGGGCCCCGGGCGGGGGTTTCAGTCCTGCCTTTGGGGGCACAGCGCTCGCTCTGCTGCACCTGCAATGGCCACGGATCCCTGAGGGCGGATGAGGGGTGACGTGCTGTGGCCGGCCCTTGGCATACTTCCAGTGCAGAGAAAAAGGCCAGGGACCCACCCACCTCCAATTGCTTTGGCTGCCCCCATGGGTGCTTCTCAGATCAGACATTGCAGTTACATGGGGGTCTTACAGTGGGGGCTCAGGGCTTGTCCTCTGGGGAGCCACGTGGGGAGCTTTCATTTGTTGGGCTTTTTTTATTAGGAGGGAGTGGGGTCCCAATGGGTGGTGCTCGGGGGAGCACGCGGTGCTGGGGACCAAGCCCAGACACCCCTTTCCCTCCACATGCACAGCCTGGGCGTTCCCCAGCCTGACCAGCAGGGCCTGCACCTACCCATTCTTGCTCTCAGGACGGACACAGGATGGGGGCAGAGGCCATGGTGTCCCACCCACGCCGGGATCCTTGCTCTGCCACTGACAACCTCCCCCTTTTCTCTCTTCACAGTCCGGGACGCAAAAAATCTAATCCCCATGGACCCGAATGGGCTTTCAGACCCTTACGTGAAGCTGAAACTGATTCCAGACCCCAAGAATGAGAGCAAGCAGAAAACCAAAACTATCCGCTCCACACTGAACCCCCAGTGGAACGAGTCCTTCACCTTGTAAGTCGGACCGTCCACCTCTGTTTCCCCACCCCCCACCGGGCCTCCCTCCCCCCTCCCCCTAGCCCCCTACCCCTGCACGCGGTGGCTGGCTCACTCAGGCAGGCAGGCTGCACCGTCTTCCTTCTTGCTTCGCTCAGGTTGTGCTGGGAGACGCTCCCGGCACGTCTGTGTTATGGGTCAGAACGTGGTTCTCCGCCAGCCCCTCCAGGGGGCACCAAAAAATACCTGCTCTGTGCCAAAGTTCTCTTATGTTGAAGATGCTATCAGAGCGCCTTCAGTATGCTCTGCCTCTCACTGGACCTGGGTTCACGCCAGGGTTAGAGAAAAGAGGAAAGTAAGCATCTAAAAGCAAATCCTTTTTTTCAATACAAGTCGCCTGGGCTGTGCTTTGGAAGTGGAAAGAGTATCCTCACCTTCCAAGCAGGGAGAGCTTTCTGGAAGAGGAGGCATTTCATGTGGCCCTCGAGGGAGTGCCAGGACTTCAGGGGTACAGCTGGGTAGAGGGGAAGGGGATGAGGAGCAGGAGATGGCTTGCCTCCCTCCGAGGAGAAAGCAGTACCTTGTAGTCATCTCCAAACACAGGGGCATTTTATGGGTAGGAGCGTGAGAAGCATTTTCTCCGCAGAAAGCAGAGAGGTCACTGCCCACTGCACAGAACAGAGGCCGTGTGGGCTTCCCCATCCCACCGTCAGGGGTCATGGACTCAGAGCAACCTCAGGTAGCATGCACATGGGCAGGTGGCCAGTACTGTGACCGCAGGGAACACGATTCACAAAGACATGCAGTGACTGCCTGGGTACATGCCTGGTGGTGGCTCGGGCCACTCTTGGGCTTCGGTTGCCAGGGCCAGGGGCAGGCCAGTGACCTTGGGCGGGCGGTGTCTGGGGGGAACCCCCACAAGAGAATTGAACTCGGCCATCACGTGGAACTGCATCAGCCCTGGAGTTCCAAGGCCCCAGGGGTGCTGGGTGACCCCAGCTATGTGCAGACAGGGACCCACAGAGGCACTTCTCAGCAGGGCTCCCGGCCAGCCAGCTGGGCATGTGCTGCCCCCCTTTTACTTACCACGGCGGTCCTCCCCAGGAACCTGGGCTCAGAGTGCTCAAGACTGACCTGTGTGTATTCTTCCGCAGCAAGTTGAAGCCTTCCGACAAAGACCGCCGGCTGTCCGTCGAGATCTGGGACTGGGACCGGACCACCAGGAACGACTTCATGGGCTCCCTGTCCTTCGGCGTGTCCGAGCTCATGAAGATGCCCGCCAGCGGATGGTAAGGCCACGCCCAAGGAGGCTCTGCCTGTGCTTGGCTGGAGCTCGGAGCCAGAGCACAGCAGAGAGGGCATTGGCCTTGTACGCGACCAACCTGGGTTCAATCCCTGGCATCCCAGAGGGTCCCCCCCCTCACCCCCCACCCCAGTGAGCCTGAGTGCAGAGCCAGGAGGAAGCCCTGAGTATTGCTGGGGGTGGGCCCAAACCCAAAAAGAAGTGAAGAGCCTGGAGCACCCCGCCCCCAAATTCCAGAGCAGTTGGGGGCAGCCGCCAGGAGCCCAGCCCTTGATGCTTTGCAGAAACTGCTGGCCCGAGATTGAGGCCGGACAAGCCAGCAGCACGGCTGGGCCCCTGGCAAGCCGTGACCACTCTCCCGTGTCTCTGAAAGGTACAAGCTGCTGAACCAGGAGGAGGGGGAGTACTACAACGTGCCCATCCCGGAAGGAGACGAGGAAGGGAACGCGGAGCTGCGGCAGAAATTCGAGGTGAGGGGCTGCTCCCCCCTATCCCGTCGCTACAACTGTCTTTCGCTCTCCTCTCGGAAGCTCGGCATTGATGGGGGGGGGGAGAGGAGAAAGAGAGAGAGAGAGAGAGAAGAAGAGAGAGAGAAAGAAAAAAAGAAAGAAAAAAGGAATGGAAGTGTGAACCTTTTACAGACAAATACAAACAGGGCAGGACCCGCTCACTGACGGATGCTAGCACCTGACCTGAGTTTTCTCTCCTTTTTCCTCTCCTCTTTCTCTCTTTTCTCTTTCGGGCCAAGCTCCTTTCTCCCGCACCCTTCCTTCACCCACTTCCTCCCCGGCCCCCAGCTCTAGCCCACCCAGGTGCCCGAAATACTAGCCAGAGGCCTTTTCTTTTTTGTGCCCCTGCAGCCCCACTCCCAGGAAGGGCTGAGTCTCACTAGAGAGGGTCTGCGGGGAGGAGGCCGAGGGCAATTTTCAGCTCTGACCCAGGCAGAGTGAACCAGAACCTTCCTGCATTTTCTGCTGCTGGGAACAGCTGGTTTGGCAGGGAGGCACCCCTGGGATTAGGGATTAGGATTGGCCTCTCTCGGGCACGGCTGAGGGGTCACTTGGCCGACGGAGCACGGCCCCCACATTTTCTGCTTCATTTCTGCGACTTCCTCACCATATCACCCTCCACCACCCCCCACCTCCCACCCCCCACCCCCCCGGGCAGACTCCAGTTCTTCAGAAAGGTCAGAATCCAAACTGGGAGAACAGGAAATGCAGGGGAGAGGCTGTGACTCCCTGGGGGCTGTGGGAAGGGGGCAGGCACCCTGCTCCCTGCTGCTCCCACTGCCCCGTGCCAGGGTCCGGGTGCAGCACCCCTGCTTGGGGCTCAGCCAGACTCCGACCCACAGCGCCTGCCCAAGTGGCAGGTCCTGGGTCCCACTAGCACTGCAGTCACGCTTTTCCAGGGGGCATTTGTCAGACCCTGTCTAAGAGGCCCCCAGCCATGGGGCCCTGGCCAGGGCAGTGTTAAGAGTTCTGGAAAGTTCTGGTCCCATTTGAGGCACCAGCTCAATGGTACGGCAGAGTTCATGGAGGTCCACAGCCATGCAAGGGGGCCATGTCTGCCCAGCCCAGCCTGCCTCTGCCCACGCAGAAGGGGGACAGTCTTCCCAAATGGGTGCTCGTTCACCTTAGGGTGTGATTGGGGGGTTTCCTTAACCCCTCCTCACCTCTTCTCTCCCTCTCCAGCCCTACAGCTCTGCCTCTGTGCCCCGATATCTCAGGCTTCCTCTCTGCACCCTCCTTAGGCCTCACTCTGTGGCCCCCAGACTCTCCCTTCTCTAACCCTAGTTTCCCCTCTCTGAGCAGTGACCCCCCCCCCGCTCCAATGCACCCCCCTCTGTCATGAGACCAGGGTAGCCTGGCGCTTGCATCTCCGCTTGGGTGTCGCTAGGCGTCATGACAGCCGGGACGGCAGCAGAGCCAGTCCCTGGGGCAGGCAGGGGAGGGCCACCCGCCAGTGTCCATCTCTGTTTCCTAGAACATGGCAACAACCCTGGGTGCTTTCCGAGTCCTTCCCCGGAGGCCAATGAAAGGACAGGAACACTTAGCCGCTACCAGCACCCTGGCGCTCCCCTGGTTATGACAAGGGGATGGGGGGCAACATTTCAGAGGTGGGGGCAATCCCAGAACCACAGAAAAAAAAATCCTGCGGGGCAGGGGGAAGCTGGAGGTGGCCTTCTGAGGAAGTAGGACCTGCTAAAGCATCCATGGGCCTAAAAGACAAAACGGCTGGACGCTGACTGCTGTGTCCACAGGCCGTGTCCGTTTGCCAGCCTCCAGCCTCTTTGAAGACAAACGTATTTGTCTTCAACTACGTTTCCTGAGCCCCGGGCTTTGTGAATCCTGTCCGCTCAGTGGCGCGGTGGCAGGGCCTGGAGCAAGACAAACGTTCCTTTCAGCCGAGAGGGCCGCCCGCTCTGTACCTCTGGGCCCTGCTGGGAGCCTCGCGGGAGGGAGCGAGGCCAGAAAGAAAAGAAGGTGCATGTTCTAACCACTTGGCCACCCAGCCAGTCCCCTGCATCCCGCCGCACGCCACCCGCCTCCATGATGGAGGGTCCCTGTGCCTTCTGCCTGCTCTGAGGTTCCTGGCTGGTGAGAGCGAGAAGCAGCATCGGCTTTGAGGTGGTTCTGAGGCTGGTTCCTGTGGTGGCTTTGGTGTCCTGGGCCAGGGGTAGAGAGGGGGACCTGACTGTGCCCCTCTCTGGCGTCATTTGCCAAAACAGGAGGCAGGGAGGCCTGCCGGGACAGCAGCTGATGAGCCCACGAAGGCGTCTGTAAAAGTCCCCCTTGGGGCTGGAGTGATAGCACAGCGGGGAGGGCATTTGCCTTGCATGTGGCCAACCCGGGTTCGATTCCCAGCATCCCATATGGTCCCCCGAGCACTGCCGGGAGTAATTCCTGAGTTGCATGAGCCAGGAGTAAGCCCTGTGCATCGCTGGGTGTGACCCTAACCCCCCCCCAAAAAAAAGTCCTTCAAGCCACCTTACAAACAGTAATCGTGGCAGCTCATCATCACCCTGTCTTAGCCACACAGGCTGGCTCTTCCTGACCTTTGAAACGCCTTTCCAAAGGTCTCCTGGGATGCCCAGACCCCTCCATGTCCTGGAGTCTCACGGTGCAGTGAGGAGTTCTGGCGTAGACATGGTCCCCGGCCGGCATGCTTGGAAGGGGCCGTGGAATGCCATTTCCACTTCGATGGCTTTCTGCTTGGGAATTGGCAGTGTTGTGTTCCCAGCAGTGGCCAGAACACCGAGAAGAAGTGGGACCTCTGGGGTTACTGGGTGGTGCGCACAGGTCAGGGTTCTGGTCATCCGGGGCTGCCTGCAGAGGGCCTGGTTAGAGACTCAAAGGGTGCACAGCTGCACCTCGGGTCCTTCCCTTGATTGTGCCGGGGGGTGGGGGGGGAGCACAGCTGACGCACGAGGAGATTGCAGCTAGTGAGTCAGGAAACCAGGAGAAACGTCACCCGGGGTCGATCACTGCCCTGGGTCCATTCTCCGATGCTTATGAGCAGGCCGGAACTGAGCCTAGAGAAGCTTATTTATTTGTTTTTGCAAAGTCCAGTGGCTGTGTTCAAGACAGAGACCAAAGCTGGGCTCATCTCTGCTCCCCCAGTCTCTTGACGTGCTGGTCACTGCCCCCGCATCCCTGTGACTCCGACGGCAGTGTCCTGGCTTGTAGGAAAGTTCTGTAGCCATGAGGCCTGGGGAGACCTTGGGTCCCCACCTTCCAGGACAGAGCCCCACCACTTCTCAGACAGCAGTAAGCACCTCATCCCGGGAGCCAGGAGCTACTACTTTCCTTCCTGCGGTTTGGGGAAGGGCTGAATCCTTTCCGCCAAAGGCTTGGTTGAAGCCATTCCATCCAACGGTCTCAGCTAAACCCCAGCTGGGCTTTCCCTGGCATCTTTCAGAGCAGGGGCGGATGCCCAGGGCCTGCGCCATCCTTGCGTCTGTGACCATGTGGACCAGGATCCAGGACCCAAGTGAAGGAGCAGCAGGGAACAAGTTAGCACAGTACATTACACAGACTGCCTTGGGGGCGGGTGAGCGTGGTCCAGAAACTGCTGGAAATCTCACCGTTTAGAGAGTCCTTATAGATTCCAGGGAGATATTTGGAAATGACCCCTGATACTTTTGTTTTTGCTTTTTGCTGACACCTGGCGATGCTCAGGGGTTCCTCCTGGCTCTGTGCTCAGGAATTACTCCTGGCGGTCCTCGGGGATCATATAGGATGCTGGGAATCAAACCCGGGTCGGCCGTGTGCAAGGCAAACACCCTGCCCCTTGTGCTATTGCTCCAGCCCGACCCCTGATACTTAACCAAGCGATTATGACCCCCCAGTTCCTCTGGCAGCTAAGTGGCCAGGGTCAGCGGAGATGGGGCCACCTTGCGGGGTTGTCTCTGAGAGAACTCGCTTGCCGGCTTCCATTCCTCTCATTGAAACTGTTTTTTCCAACCGCCTCTGCTGTCTTTGCGGACTTAGTCTCATTCAGGATGTTCTTCTGCAGATGTAGGGCCCGGGGGTTGGTGGGGGTGGTAGAAACAGATCACCAGAGACCCTCAGATAAATTGTAGTGATTTGATTTGGTCAGGCCTGCCACCGTTACCATGGCAACCGAGTGCTTTTTTTTTCCGATGACCTTTTAAACACATAACAGAAAAAAATCTATGTGACCCGTTCTGTATTCTGCTTTCTGCTCTGTCCTGGACCCAGCTTACTTAATTACTTTCCCATCTGGGGGATATGAAAAAGGGGAGGAAAATCCATATAACGCACACCAGTCGAGAGAAAGATGTTTTCATCACTGTGTTCAGCTCACAGATGCAAAAGCTTCCATGCGAACCAGGGCCAGGGTGAACATGGAGAATAATTGTCAGGCATTCGCCACTGTCATCGGCCCAGGCCAGCGCTGCCCCTGTGCCAAGCCGAGGCAGAGGGAGCCCCGAGAGCAGCATGGGATGGCTGGGGAGCCTGGACAGAGGAGAAAGGCGTTTTGTTGTTGGTTTTGGTTTGTTGTTTTTGGAGGTGTTTGTTTTTTTGTTGTTGTTGTTTTTTGCTTTTTGGGTCACACCCGGCAATGCTCAGGGGTTACTCCTGGCTCTGCACTCAGAAATTACTCCTGGTGGTGCTCGGATGACCATGTGGGATGCTGAAAATCAAACCCAGGTCCACTGTGTGCAAGGCAACTGCCCTGAACATTGTGCTATCGCTCCAGCCCCAGGGAAGGGCATTTTATATGACAGCAGAGCTGAGTGGACTGTGTTCTCCTTGGAGCTCGAGGGATGGTGCCTAATTTCAGCGCCCTCCGCATGCATCCTGCTGTCTGCCGCCAACAGCGGTGGCCATGGGCAGGACGGTGCCAGCCGAGAGACGCCATCACCCAGGTGTACACAAGGTCTGGGCTTGCGGGGGATGAAACTCCATGGACAGACGGGCGTCACCAGCAGAGGCGACGGAGCCAGAGCACAGCGGCCCTGAGAAAGAAAGGCCTGGAGTAAGGGTCAGACGGCAGGGCCGCCCCTGGACCATTCCCCCTCAGCGCGTGCCCTGGGAGCATGAGGATGAGCAGGAGTGGGGACTCCAGGGTCAGTCCAAGGGCCCGACACTCCGAGTCTCCTGGCAGAGAGACACCTGGGGATCCCCAAGTCCCTCACTCCCCCGCACTTTGCACCCCACCCCCAAGCACGCATGCACGCACACACACACACAGACACACACACACTCTTGCCCATGTTGCCTGTGAGGCCACAGGGGCCCAGGAACAGCCCCCAGCAGTGCTGGCTGGCCAGGGCGAGAAGTTGTCACCCCAGAGAGCGGGAACGGGTGCGGGGGAAAGGCACTGGGTAAGGGGTCGGAGCTGACGGTTGTGAGGATGGTGTATCAGAGCTACAGCCTTCCTGCTCCCACACGGGGCGGGCACGCGGGGTGGGGTCCGGACAGGGGCTTGGGATGTGAGGTCAGTGGGAATGTGGGGTCGGGACACAGGGTCAGGATGTGGGGTCACGTGGAGTCAGGACACGAGGTCGGGACCTGGGGTCACCGGGGCTCATGGGGTCAGAATGTGGGGTCTGGACACGGAGTAGGGTCGGGATATAAGGTCAGGATCTGGGGTCACGTGAGGTCAGGATGTGGGGTCATGGGGTCAGGACATGAGGTAAGGACCTGGGTTCACGTGGGGTCGGGATGTCGGGTCTGGACACGGAGTGGAGTTGGGACATGGGGTCAAGATGTGGGGTCTCACATGGGGTCAGAACACGAGGTTGGGGCCGAGGGTCACATGGGATCATGATGTGGGGTCTGGACATGAGGTAGGGTCGGGACACAGGGTCAGGATGTGGGGTCACATGAGGTTGGAACACGAGGATGGGACCCAGCATCACATGGGGTCGGAACATGGGGTTCGGACATGAGGGTCTGGACGCAGGGTTGGGACCGGGGTCATGTGGGGTCACCTGGGGTTGGAACATGGGGTCTGGATGCGGGGTCACGTGAGGTCAGGCCTCTTTGCTTGGCTCCTGGTTCCGCTCGGCTCTCTGCAGTCGTGCGTGCGGAAAACGCCTGGAGCTTTCCCCAGAGAGCGAAGCTTTATTGCCAGTTGTAGCCTGGCTGGTTTTCTTTCACTTTTATGGGGTTTGGGGTTTGTTTTCATTCTCGACTTTATGAGCTGCCGGCCTGTGATCACTTAGCACCAATTGAGTTTCCCCGGGAGTGGAGTGTTTCTTCTTCCTCCATTGAATTCTCTCCGCACGTGACGCTCATCGCGTCCCTGCCGTTCTCCATCACTCTGTTCCTGCAGCAGCAACCACCAGCAGCTCTCTGCACCCCTCCCCCCCACCCCGGCATCACCGCGGGCCCCCCTTGCCCCCTGAGCCTGGCCCAGGTCTGGGAAGAGCCTCAGGAAGCGGGAGCATGCTGTGAGTGCGTGGGGCTTCCCCTGCTTTCTAGAGACAGCCGGGCCCCCCACGGGAGACACGGGGACGCCGTCTAGGAAGGCGTAGCTGGGAGAGGCAGGGTGCCATGTCTCGTGTCTCGCCCCAGCCGTCAGCAGTGTTTCCAAGAACTAGGTTCAGGATGCCACGGCTGATTTCTGCAAGAAGCCCAGGCCAGAAATGCAACCGGGCCGGAAAATCACCGCCGCCACCAGAGGGCGCTCGATGCCCGCGAATGAAACCACCTGCACCCGGGCTTCAGGGCCCTGGGCCTGTGGATGGTCCCCAAGGGCACCCCGCGACTCGGGATTCAGGGGCTTGTCCCAGAAGCACTGAACAGCTCGGAAGCCCCCCAGGCTCACCTAGGGAACCGGTTCCTTCTCTATCTCTGCCGTCTGCGCAGTGGTAGAGAATTCCCTGCTCCTAAGTGGCAGGACTGGAGCGACCTGGGAACACCCCATATTGGCCGCCTGTGGGTTCAGGGAGCTGCTTCCCTGGCCCCAGGCAGGCATCAGCCCGAAGGAGAGTGTTTTCAGCAGGAAAGCGTGTCCCTTTCAGAACTCCACTAAATTTCCCAAACACTGACAGTGACATAGGGAGGTGTCTCTGCTCACCAGGCCAGCCCACTGACCCCAGTCAGCAGGCCCTGGAGAAGGGGACCCCAGTGGCTGTGGGGAGAGGAATCCCTGCAGGAGAAGGACCCTGTTCTTCACGCATCCCCCAGGGGCCAAGCCCCACTGCATCTGGGGCCCGTGTCATCATCCCCCACCCCCTTCGTCGCCATGACAGCGGCCTACTGGCCCCCGGGGAATCCTCCACCGGGTGGCAAAGACCTGCATGCATGTTGGGGGGTGGGTCTTTGCAAGAGTGACTCGGTGTGGTTTCCCTGAGCCTTTTGCTTAGCGGAACCGGGACTCCGGCCGTGGGCTTCTACAGAATTCCGTTTCCTGTGCTGGCTGGCTGAGGCATCTTGGGATTCCAGTTTCCATGGGCTCCTGAGGCGTGGGCCTTTCCCTCCAAGCTGCCGGACAGTGCAGGGTCCAGGCCAGCAAGCAGTCCGCTGGCCACATTCTGTTGCTGCATGCTTGTGTCGGTCAGGGCTGAGTGGAGCAGCCCCCGGAGAGGGGGCGGGGGGTCAGTAGCTCACACGGCCGGCAGAGCCAGGGCCAGCGGGCTACCAGGCTGACTCAGGACTCCCTCCATGGTTCAGCTTGGGTGGGGCATGCAGACTCGGAGTCCAGGGAGAGGATGTGGTTCAGACCAGTGTGTAGCACCCCAGACCCCCCAGCCTTTGTGCCCTACCCCTAGGTGGGGTCTTCTTAGCAGCTGAGACCCTTCCAGAGCTCTGTCCCCCTGGGTGGCTGGGGGAAGCCCGTAGTGGGTGGGCAGACTCAGACCCCCAGAGTCGCCCTCCTCCCTGCCCCCCATTCTGCGTATCCCTGGGGGCGGTGGGGAGAGAGTCCAGCCTCAGCACCCACTATCATGGAGAGTCAGGGACCAGGATAGAGGCAGGTGGCCCACCCCGGGCCTGACCTGGCTGAGGGACCGGCTCCTGCTGTCCCCTCCCTCACCCACCCCACTTCCTGCTACCCCACCCCAAACAACCAGCAGAGGGGTGCTGGTTACCAGTTCACGCAGGCGCCCTCTGCTCTGTGCCGGGGCCCAGAGGGAGGACTCAAAGCAGGGCGGGGCTCCCGGCCAGGAGTTGGTGTGGTTCCTGCCACCCCAGCACCACAGCTGAAATGTGTGACACATGGTGACAGCCCTCGGAGGGTAGTGTGGGACCCGCTGAGCAGGTCATCTCTGGGGGACAAACTTGTGGATGTTTTAGGACTTGATTTTCTGTTCTCTAGAAAGAGCGGATGCTGTCTCTATAACAAGAAGGGTTGCTGGGCCCAGAGAGAGAGTCAAGGGTGAGGTGCCCGCCTTGTACGCGGCTAGACCTGGCTTAAGTCCCCGGAGCCACAGACAGATCCCGGAGCACCAGCAGGCACCCCTGAGCACTGCCAGGATCAACCTCCCACCCCACCTTCAAAAACAAAAAAAAAAAACAGTGTTATAGAAATTATTTAAAATCAGTGCTCTGTCTGATTTCACCAGGAGTTTGTAGCGGGAGGAGCTATGTTCCTCGCAGACACACACTCAGATCCAAGTCCCTATGGACTCACATCCTGGCTCTCTCGTAGACACAGGAAAACAACTAGAACAGAGCAGCAGAGTCCCCGAGAAGGGGAGACGAGGATCGGGGCCGTCCCACCTGGCGGGGAGGGGGGTGCGGGGGGCTGCTTCAAGGCTCCAGCCTCCAGCCCCTCCTGGACAGTCCATCTGGGCCAGGGAGAGAGCAGTGTGCAGGCCCCAAGGGGCGAGCGTGCTTGGCATGCTCCGGGAGATGAAAAATGGTTCCTCCGGAGCAGAGCAGGCGTTTTATTTACTCTCGCTGCGCTGCCCAGCAGGCCGCAGTGCCCATTAAGTATTGCCTTAACCCGCGGCCAGTAGCTGAGCAGGAGGTGATTGATGCCATCCTGCCCTGTGGCTTTCCGGAAATGCACAGGCCCAGCTCTATTCAGCGTTTTCACTGCAGACACCACCCCGTTCCTGTGAGCTCCTTATCAGAAATGGCTGTGTGACTATGTGTGTGTGTGTGTGTGTGTGTGTGTGTGTGTGTGTGTGTGCGCGCGCGCGCGTGCATGCATGTGTGTGCACATGTGTGAGTGCATGTGTGTGCATGTGTGTGCATGCGTGTGTGTATAGCTCTAGGGATAGAACTCAGCTCTTCCACATGAGCCTCAGGACTGCGCCCTTTCGTTCCCTCTCTCTTGACTCCCACGACGCGGGAGCAAGTGAGTCTGGGCTGACTAAGTCAGGTGGTGAGCTGGGGAACGGGGCTTGAAGCAACAACAGCACCCCCTGTCTTGTGTGGCTGGGCTCGCTGAGAGAAACCCACAACACAGCACACAAACACGATAAGAAAACCCCAGGAGAAGAAACCCACAGTTACTCCAACAGTGACAAGAGTCGTTGATCTCTCTGCCTGTGGATTCTCAGGAAGAACGTTTGCTCTCAGGCCTGTGGCTCTGCATCTGGCAGGCTTTGGGGGCTGTGTCTCTCGTCGGTAACCCCGCTGTCCTGTGAGGAGAGTCCGCCTGACAGCATCGAGGAGGGCATCTCCTCGCCCCCCCATTCCACCTCCCAGCGGACGCCCAGGGTCTCTGTCCCTGGGAACAAGGGCTGAGTGACCCCCGCCCCCGCCATGTGCTCTGTCCTCTAGAAAGCCAAGCTGGGCCCTGCAGGGAACAAGGCGGCCAGCTCGTCGGAGGAGCGCAGACAGCCATCCAACAACCTCGACAGAGTCAAGCTCTCGGACTTCAACTTCCTCATGGTGCTGGGGAAGGGGAGCTTCGGAAAGGTAGGGGGGCACAGGCCGTCCTCCAGTGCATGTTGGGGTGCGGGGGGGGGGAAGGGCCTGCGTTTCCTGAGCAACTCCAAGCCCTGCTTTCTGCACTCTCCCTGTGGGGAACTCCAATTTTTTTTCAAGACAAACAACTATTTTGCCCCAAGCCAGCCCCGGAGCACTGTCCTTCCTTCACCTTCTCGTGGCTGAGCGAATCTTATCCACAGCCAGAAATCAAACTTGAGCCTCAGTGAATGGGCGTCACAATGAGCAGAAACGGGCTGAGTTTCTTCAGCCTGGAACTGGCGTCTCATGAGATAGGCAGGAAGCATCACTTCAGGACACGGTTTGAGGGCCGAGGGGGAGACTCTTGGTTCTGACTCCTGTGACGCCCACAAAGCTCAGTGGCCTTTCATTGTCACCATGTGACTGGAAGAGGGCCCCAGGCTCAGGCCGCTTCCAGCTCCTGTCAGCAGCCCAAGTGCCCAAAGATCCCCACAGGCCCCTCCATGCGCAAGGCCCGAAGTCAGCGTACAGGAGCCAGGCTCAGTGCCTGTGAGATTTCAAAATTGGTGGCTTACTTTTGGTGGTAGTGGTCTTGGGGGCTTGATTTGGGGCCCGCACACTGGCAGTGCCTGGGGGGGGAACCCTGTGGTACCAGAGATCAGATCCAGGCCAGCCCTTGGACATGCAGCCTTCTCCATGCTGGGCTGGAGTGCCCAGAGCATCTCCCAGAGTGAGCCTGGTGCCTGCCAGTCCCAGCGCAGAGCTCACCAAGGTTCTCAGGACACACACACACACACTCATACACACATTCACACACACATACACTCACACACACAGTCATACACACACACAAATACACACATACATATACACATACACCCACAAATACACTTACATGAATACATATACTCACACATACACTCATACACACACACAAATACACTCACACACTCTGTGTGCACTCAGGTGATGCTGGCTGACAGGAAGGGCACCGAGGAGCTATACGCCATCAAGATCCTCAAGAAGGACGTGGTGATTCAGGACGACGACGTGGAGTGCACCATGGTGGAGAAGCGGGTGCTGGCACTGCTGGACAAGCCCCCCTTCCTCACGCAGCTGCACTCCTGCTTCCAGACAGTGGTGAGAGCCGGGGAGGCCCCGAGGACCCCTGCACCCGGAAGGCAGCTGGGCCAGGCACTCACTCCCGGGGACAGGCAGGATGGATGAACTCCGGCTGCTCAGCCTGGATGCTTCTCCGCCCAGGTGGAAGAGACAGGGTCACCTCACCTCCCTCTGTGAACTCCCTACAGAGAGGCTAGCACTGTGGCACCCTCAAAGCAAAGATTTCCTCCTACCTGGCAGGACAGCAAGAAGGCTATTGGACCCGGGAGCCAGGGAAGTGTTGGCAGGGTAGAGTTTCTAGTTGCAGTATAGAAATTATGTGCTTGTGTAGCTGCATATAATGTAATATGCTTACAGTACAGCAACAGTGTAGAGTACAGCTGTAGTTATAGCATAACTACAGTAGAGTTTTAGTACGGTAATAGTATAGTTATACTATAGTTATAGAAATAGAGTAGTTGTATAGTTGTAGTATAGCTAAATATTTATAGTTATAGTGCAGCAACAGTACAATAGAGTTGGAGTATCATTATAGCATTGCACAGTCAAGCATAGTTTACAGTACAGGGATATTAGGGTAAAGTTATACCATCATAGTATGATACAGTCATAGTGCAGTGTGGCAAAGTAATAGTTTAATAGGTTCATGGCATCATAGAATGTCTTAGTGTAGCGTGGTAGAGTAATAGAATAGCAGGATTATGGCATCGTAGCAGTACAGTCACAGCAGTGTGTGGTACAGGGGTAGTAGCATTACAGTGCCATAGCAGGTCATAGTGCAGTGTATGGTACAGGGGTGGTACGGTAGGGTTGTAGTCTTGTTATGGCACCATACAGTCGTGTAGTGTAGGCTACTAACCTAGGCCTTCCATATTAGGGAGTTTTTATTAGGGACATGTTGAGGGGTCCTATGGAGCCCACCTTTTGCTAACGGGAACATAGAGCAGAGGAAAGAGTTGGGTGGGCACCTGCTCATACGTAACCTTTGGCCTCCAGGACCGGCTGTACTTCGTCATGGAATATGTCAATGGCGGGGACCTCATGTACCACATCCAGCAAGTCGGCAAGTTCAAGGAGCCACAGGCAGTGTGAGTCGTCACCAACCCCTCTGAAGAGGCACGGTTTCCCTGTGGGAGCTTCTAGGGGGCTGGGAAACAGGGTCCCCACCAGGTGAGCTGGGACTTCCAAGGCAGGGGCCAGGGGGCTGGCCGAGAAGAGTTTGGCTCCACTTCCAGTAAACTGTGTGGTGTGAGTGGTGGGAGTCCCTGCACCTGCCAGGGTGTCCCTCAATCATACATCTGTCACCCACCTCATGTACTGGACATCTAGGTGTCGGGGTGAAGGCAGTGAGTGGCCCCTGTCTCCAAGGCAGCCAGAGAAGGCCCTGGACAGTGACACTTAGGACCTCACTCCTGCCCCCACAAAGTGGGCAGTGGGGGAATGAATCCCCCCAGGAATACTCAACCCAGATGCGTGAGATTTGGGGGGGGGAGGCAGTGCTGTAGGGAAGGGCCATTGCAGGGGATGCGGCTGAGAACGGGGGTCTAGAAGGGGCTCCCATGACCCTAACCATCCTCATGCCACACTTTGGTAGAGCCCCTGGGACCATGAGCGGGGCCAGGCCTGTGGGTGCTGGGGGGCATCTACCCTGGGGAGAGGGAACCAGCTGTAAGGGGTGGGGCCTCAGCCCCATAGAGACGATGTGTCTCTGGGGAACCACAGGAGGGTGGGAGGTTGGGGAAGGGAAAGAGAAGCCCATTTTGGTTAGGATTGCAGGGGGGCTCATTTGGAACCCCCTCCACTGCGAGCACCCCTCGTTCTTGACAGCTGCGGGTCTGGCTGGCCTGACCCTAGCCCGACTCTGCCGTGTACTGGGGCTGCTGTGAGGACCGGGGTTCGCTTGGGTCTGCAGAATTCTGCAGGACCACTGCGTGGGCATTGGGTCTGCAGTGCCTGGGGTTGCAGTCTGTGCTGGGGAAGGTTTTCTGTGAGAAGGCTCAGTTTTGTCTCTTTTTTATATGCCAAGGTAGATTATTTTTCCGTGTCGCTGTCGACCTCCTTGTTTTCAGAACACCCAACCCTCGTCCCGCTCTTCTGTCATGAGTTTGAAAAGAGTCAAGTGCTTGGGCGTTGATTTTTTTGTCACCTGCTACTTTACTGTACAAGACTGTTGTTTCCAGGAGCTTTTTTAAAACTGTTTTTTTTTAAAAAGTCTGTTATTTCCAGCGACCTTAGGATTTTCTTAGTATCACGTCTTCTGCACTTGTTGAGACCTTGACTTCTTCTTTCCTGACTGGTGGCCCTTAATGTCAGCTCCGTTGCCATTAAGACATGGAAGTGTCCAGGCTGGTGGGATAATGCAGGGATTAAGCCACTTGCCTTGCACCTGACCCCGATTCTACTCCTGGTTCCACAGATGCCCCCCCTCCAGCTCTTCCACTGCCAGGAGTGATCCCTGAGCATAGATTCAGTAGTCCCTGAGCACCACAAGTTGTAGCCCAAGACCCTCTGAAGGAAAGGAAAGAGTTTGGTGAAATTTGGTGTGATCACCGTGTCACCACATACCGTCACATCTCCAACACCTTCCTAGCCGACTGTGTTGCTTGAATTTCTTCTAAAAATAGAGAAGAGCGTGCCGAGTTAAACATTTTCTCCCAGTCTTGTCTCTTCCATCTCCTGCACGCCTCCTCACTGCCCACCCTCGGGGATGGGGCCCCCACAAAGAGTGCCTTCATCATCCGGGGTGTTCCTGCCTGTACAGACACCCGTGGGCTTATCTGAAGCCTCCCGGGGCTGAAGGGGCGCAGGCAGAGTCATGAGGAGGTTCAGACGCCAAAGACACTGAAGGCCGCGCATGGTCAGAAAGCTCCCATGCACTGATTCTGGGTTTCCGACGCTAGTCCACGCGGGGGAGGCACTACTTCCCGTGATGAGCTATGTCAAAGGGAACGTGGGCCCCATTTATCCCGCCCTCCGATAGGAGAGTGCCCCACAAGCTCCCACACTCTCCCTGGTCTGGTCTCCCAGAAAATAGTGTCTTCATGCACCTCCCACCCCCCATCTCCCCACGGGTGGGAGGTGGACCCCCTGCCTGGCACACAGCCCTGGCACAGAAGAAGCTGGCCCAGGCCCGCCCTTTCAGTGAAACGTTTAGGAGCTTCTGTGCCAGCCGCCCAGAGGGTCCGAGCTTGCTTCTGGATGTGGGTTGAGCTGTTTCAGCTGTGGCCTTTGGGCAGGGGGATGGCCAAGTCTATGAGGAAGGAGTATCTGAAGGGTCCAGAATCTTCCTTTCTCTTAACTCTTTGTTGTTGCTCCAGCTGTTGGGTAAAAACATTCCAGGAGCCAAGAGGCCAACCCAAGCCGTCTCTTTTGCAGATTCTATGCAGCCGAGATTTCCATCGGGTTGTTCTTCCTGCACAAACGAGGCATCATTTATAGGTGAGTGTCCGAACTCTACCACAGGACCACGGTTGTGGGCCTGGGGTGGGGGGAACGTCTGTACTGCGGGGGGTGGGGGGTGTATGAGGCAGGTCCTTCTGCTTTGGTCACTTCAGATGTAGCCTTGGTAACCCCCAAAGGACAAAAAGCTGCAGGAAATCCCCGTTCCCCACTCACCCACTCCTTTTCTCAGCAGCCTCTGGGCAAGCCACAGGCATCTTCAGCTTCCCGAGCCTGGAAAGCACCCCTGAGCTCTGCTTTCCACAGGAAAACCCTCTCCTCGCCCCCACACACAGCCCCTTCCTCAGCCTTCCCTAGGGGAGGGAGGGCAGGCTGCGGTGGCGAGGGCATATCCGTGGCAAGAGCCTGGGAACTAGAAGGGGGTCAAGAGCAGCTGGACTCAGGCCTTCCCCTCCCGAGCCACTGCAAGAGTGAGATGCCCCTCAGGACTGGCTGAGGTGTTTGTTGAAAGATGCTTGGCACTGTGGCCCCCGGGGAGGCTGTTTGAACCCCTGCAGCAGATGAGGGAGCCTCATCCATCAGTCAGGGCTCAGGGGGAGTCTAGAACAGAGACTGCACACTCAGCCATCGCAGTGAGCTGCAGGTGTCGCACAAGGCACTCAGTGTTTGGTCCCCTGAGCACTGCCAGGAGCAGCCCTGCTTGGTGTGGCCCAACCCTCACAAATAGGAAAAAAAAACAAAAGCTCCAGCCCGTTCCTGGCTTCTAATCTGGGACTGGGAGCTGCTCAGGTAGCCACTTCCAAGCCACCCCTCCCCGACTCTCCAGCAGCCCTGACTGCTCTCGCTCCCCCACCTCCTGGCAGGGACCTGAAGTTAGACAATGTCATGCTGGACGCGGAGGGACACATCAAGATCGCCGACTTCGGGATGTGCAAGGAGCATATGATGGACGGGGTCACCACCAGAACCTTCTGCGGAACTCCGGATTACATCGCCCCCGAGGTATGCACCCCCGAGTCCCGCCTTTGGGGCCTCTTCTTTCCAACAGCAGCTCCCATCCACCCCGGCCAGGGGGTACTGAGCCCTTTGGGTACCACTGGGGGCCACCACCCAAAACATAGCACTGTTGCCTGCCCAGAGGGACCTGGCCGCGGAAAGGGCAAGCCTGGTGGTGCACAGGAGGGACCAGGCTGGGTGTATTTCAACGTTGTTGTCATGTGAGTGTGGGAACCGACTTCCCATGACTTCATCACTCCCCGGGGTCTTGGCCAGGACGGTAGAGATTGTGGCCGTGTTGCACAGGCAGGGGAGCACCGTGTTTGTGAAACGGCTCTGCAGGGAAAGACATGGGGAGACTGTGCTCCCCAGGACACCTCCAGCACACTGCAAGGGCGTCACCTACCCTCCAGGACACATGGGTCTCGACGATGCATCTGTCACGCAGGAACAACGCGGGGTGTGGCTCTCAGCCCAGTGGCTCAGGACTCCAATGTTGGTAGCACCACAGTCCAGCTCCGCCCCTGGGGGTGGCTACCTTGGCAGATGACCGGCATACTGCCTGCATGCATGTCTCAATGACACCAGCCCTGTAGGAGCTTCTGTCCAGATGCTCAGCTCAGGTTGTGGCAAGTCAGACATCCTTCCCACCCTCTGGAGCTCACTGCGGCAGCACCAGGGATGGGAAAGTGTCTGTGTGGCATGAAGAGCAGAGTTGCTCTCCACAGAGGTGCTGGCTCCAGTGTTTCCCTCTCGGAAGCCTGGCGACCATATGGGATGCAGGGAATCTAACCTGGGTCGGCAGCGTGCAAGGCAAACACCCATTTCCTTTGTTCCCCTCGCTTCCCCTCTGAAGGGGATCTGGTTTGCTACTTTTCTCCATGTGCAAGTAGAAATTTAGAACAGTCTCTCGGGAAGGAGGGTGGGCCGAGTGAGAGCACGGCGGGGCGGGGAGAGCACTTGCACACGTCCAATAGGGTTTGATCCCAGCATCCCTGGCACCCCATAGGGTCCTCTGAGCACCGCCAGGAATCATTCCTGAATACGGAGCCAGGAGTGAGCCCTGAGCATCACCGGGTGTGACTTCAGGATTTAGATTCTGCGTGCCAGGGCCAAAGGTGACAGGGCATCGTGATTTCATAAACTGGGGCTTTTTCTCACCCAATCCCACATTGCCGTGCCCAAGTCCCCAGAGGCAGCCACTTGCATGTCTGGTGGGAGGGAGAGAGCTGGAGAGATGGGCCGGCGCACCCTCTGCGCACTGCACCCGGCCGCCCACGCTCACGCTGCTGCTGGCAGCCTTCTAGGAACGGAACAAAGGTGGCTTTGAACCTCATCTCCGTTCAGACCAGGTCACAGCCAAACTGTCGCTTCCGGTATTTTCAAGTAAAATCTCAGCCGCTCAGTGTAGCCCTAGAATTGAAGTTTAGCAAACAACTGAAGCTTTTTTCTTCTTTTTTTAAATATTCCTCTTTAGACAAGTTACCTATTGCTACCGGAATAGTTACCCACCAGCTGAGTGGGTTCGAACAGTGCAGATGTGGACTAGGGGCCTGATCCAGGGACTGGAACCCAGGCTTTGTGTGCAGGAGAATGGGATTCCCATAAACTCCTTGAGCCCCCTTGAGGCCCCAGGCACATCAAGGAGTAGCTCCTGGGTGCATGGGGCATGGTCTCAACACAAACAGACGAAACTCCACTTGTCACTTGTCTTCCCATTGTTCATTGATTTGCTAGAGCAGGCACCAGAAATGACTCCATTTGTCCCTGTCGAGTGATAGTGTAGCCCAGCAGCGTATTGGAGGCTCGTTCAGGGTAGGGGAATGAGACCCGTTATTGTTACTGTTTTGGGCATATTGAATACTCCATGGGTAGCTTGCCAGGCTCTTTCATGCAGGGGGAATACTCTTGGTAGCTTGCCAGGCTCTCCAAGGGCTCAGACCTCCAGGGAATACTCTGTCGCTCTCTTCCGGGAGCTTTGTTTTATAGTCACTGAATCTTGGCTGTTGATGGGATTAGATGGCGTTGGGAGGTAGTTTGTGAGTGTGACTGCCAAGCTTCTGGAAAACTGAGGATCTGGGTGGAGGAGGCCCAGCCCCTGAGCAGGCTTGGAGATCTCAGCCCCAGTCCCGCGTAACTGGGTTCTTCTGCCGGTTCCTTCATTTGTGAGGTTCGTCCAAGCGTATAGAGAGTGGCCTTGAGCATGGCTGTGCCTGGGTTTTGGGGGTTTTCTGCTGCCGGGGTTCTTTTTGGGGTGGGGAGGGAGATTCAGCCTCCCCCGTCCAAGGGGACCCCTGTGAAGATAGCCTGGCACGGGGGCAGGAGATTCTGCCAGTCAAAACTCCAAAGCAATGAAACAACATCTGGCCATTCCAGTGCTCACACAGGCAAAACTACCTCCTGAGTTCCCAGGGCACATGCAGGGCTCGGTCATTCCCTTGCTGGTCTCTTCCCACCTCTGGGTACCGGTGCCTGGGCCCCTGCCTGCAGGGGCTCCCATACCCCCCCATTCCGGCCTCTTTTTCCCCCCGCCCACCCCTGCTGTCTCCTTCTCAGGCATCCCCGATGGCCCTGAATGCCAGCACAGCTGCCCCTTCAGGGTCACCCACAGCTTCTCCCCTAGCTCTCCGCCCAGGGCAACCCCCACGGAGCTCCCCCAGTACTGGAGTTTGCCACCGTATCTTTGGCATCCTGGGCACTGCCCCTTGCTTGCTGCCCTCAGTGTGTGACCGTTCAGACCCAGGCACCTGAGCACGTGCTCAGTGCGGGCTCAAACGCCAGCCCCCCGCCGGCCAGAAGCAGAGCCAGGCAGTGCCCTCCGGAGCACCCCCGCCTGCTGCCCCCTCTCCTACCGCCCGTCCTCCCCCAACGCCCACTCCTCTCCTTCCCATCCCATAACTGTGTCTTTTCACCCATGCCAGAGCTGGAGCCAGCCAGGCGGGGACCTTTTTTTTGGGGGGGGGAGGGCTTTACAGATGCCTAATCCCCGAGGAGCACTGAGGCCACCGTGAGGCTGTGCCTGGAACTTCAGCGAGACCGGTGCATGGCCCGTGGCATTTCCTTGGCTCACTTGCAGCTTTGGAGGGCGCTTTTCTTCTTCCTGACCCAAGACTTGGTCACCCCAACTTCCTGGCCACTTGGGGAGATAGCAGAGGCCGGGCTGGCCGGGGAAAGGCTTTGTGAACCTAAAAGTTCCTTGCCATTGAGAAGATGTTAGAAGGAAAGGGCACTTGGATGGGGCTGAGCAGGTCATACAAGGAACCAATGAGTAAGGTCATCAGAAGAAGGTGCTGCCAGAAAGCCGGGAGGGAGAGAGGTGCTGGGAACGCATCGGAGAGAGGCATGCTGGGAAAACACATCAAAGAGAGGCATGCTGGGAAAACACACCGGAGAGAGGCATGCTGGGAAAACACACAGGAGAGAGGCATGCTGGAAAGGCAAATCAGAAAGACAGGTTCTGGGAACACAGAAAAGGGCATACTGGGAAAACATTGGAAAATCCTGTTTGTTTGTGTCTGTCTCTTTGGTTGCTTTTTTTCTTCTCTGGAGAAACCGTGTTGTCTCTCCAATATGCATTTCCTCTTTCTCAGCCCTTACTTCTAAGTAAATATAGTTCAATAAAAACTACCTTGCTTCACTTCAAAAAAAGAAAAAGAAAGGAAGAGGGTTTCCAGGAACACAGAGAGAGGCTTGCTGGGAAGACACATCAGAGAGGAGTGCTGGGGACACAGGGAAGGAGGGGGAACAGACAGGGGGATGCAGGGACATACGGACAGGGGGGGATGCAGGGACACATGGAGACAGGGAGATGCTGGGAATATGATGGAGGAAACTGAGGTTCCCGAGAGCACCCTCGGGGGGGGGGGGGGTGCCGTGGGAGGCCTGAGAAAGGGAGAGTGATGAGCCTGAAAGCCCCGGGTTGAGCAGGCACTGCACTCCAGTTGGGAAGGGCAGCCCGGCCATTCACTGCGTGTCCAGAGAATGTCACATGGAGCCGCCCACAGGCCTCCCCCCAAGCCTCCAGTGCCCAGCTCAGCTCAGCTCAGCTCAGGGCCGCTGGCCGGAGGCAGCAGAGCAGCCTTTGCACCCCCGAGCAGGCACCGGCTGCGGGGGCCAAGACCTGCTCTCTCTGGATGCAGCCCGGCCTGGGGGGGCTCGCCATTCAGTGGATGGGTGCTTGTGAGCGCGGGTCAGCACCAGATCTGGGTTTGGGGTGCCCTCGGTTCTCCCAGAAATAGCAGCCGCACGGCCCTAGGAACTTGCTGGCCCCACGTTGGCCCCAGTTGGGCCGGGCAGGGAAGGCCAGCTGGGCTCGAGCACCGGCGCCGCCTGGGAGGCTGAACTCACCCGGCCCGCTGCGTAATCCCTGCTGTCAGCCAGCAGCGCGGTAATTACCTGAGGTGCCATTTCCCATAATAGGCGAAGCGGAGGCTGACGCGGTGATGGCTGTTTGTTCACACACCTTGAAATGGATTAATTCACAGCAGCTCCCACCCGGGCACTGCACATGGGGCCCGCAGGCCTGACAAGTGCCATCTGGAGTCTCAAAGGTTGCCCGCTAGCAGCACGACACAGCAGACGATTCCTGACGCTGATGGGATGTCATCTCGGCAGAGTGCGGCTCCCCCCACCCCCCCAGCTCTCGCCCGCACAGGCAGGCCCATTGTGTGGGGATGCAGGGGCCAGTGGTCAGCTCGGAAGTGCCCAGGAGTCAGTCGTGGCCATGCCATGCCCGCTTGTCTCCACGGGGGTGAGCCTCTGTGGGGGGATCTGTGCATACTGCCCTATGCCTGAGACCTCTAGGGCTGCTCGCCACCCCTTCTGAGGGCTAGCCAGCACCCACCATGCCATCACTCTGCTCAGGACCAGAGACAGGGCTGGTGGGGCACGAGGGTAGAGGGGAGGAACAGGGGAGGAAGGGTCTGGAAGGGTGTCAGTGGGTGGAGGACAGAGGGTGGTCCTGGGCCTCACAGAGGGACTGGAGGGCCACAGCATTGGGTATCTAC